GCAGGGAGGTGGGGGGGGGGGAGGGGGCGTTGGGGACAGGCAGGATAGGGGGCGCCTTCGCTGTGGAGAGAATGCAAACAGGAGACCCCAAACACGGAGGAGAAGCAGGGTCTGGGTCCTGAGGGCCGCCGAGGGAGGAAAATCTGGCGAAGAAAGTCCTGGTCAGATCTGAGAGGGGAATGGGAAGGGCAGCGATGAGGCAGGAAGGATTCTGGGCCCCAGAACGGGAGAGGTGGGGTAGCTCTGGAGAAGCCCCAGTCTGGGGCTGCGGTGGAGCTCCTTGGGGCTGCTTCTCTCACAACAGGGTATGTTTGAGCCCTACCTGAAGAGCTTCTACATCAGATCCACCGACCCCACCCAGATCAAGATCCTGAAGGTGAGCGATGGACAGAAGTGCCTGCGGCCTTTCCTCCCCCTTCCTGCCCCCACCGACTCTCTGGGATATCCACAGTGGCCACCTTGGGGCCTGCCTATTTCTGAACCTGTGGCCACTCCACTCAGGAGTATTGGCCCAGGAAGCTGGGCTAATGGGGGCCGGGGCGGGGGAGGGAGCTGCCTTTTGCCTGTTATCCAATAGATATCTGCCACTTTTCATATGTGAAGTAACCTGATTTTCAGAATAACCTCAGGAAGTGTACATTATCTCCATTTTATAAAAATGCAGACCCCAGGAGGTGAGGTTGCTACCCCGGAGTCAGTCCTGCTGATTCCAGAATTCACACTTTGCTGGCTACAGTCTCTTGTCTTCCACCCACGGTGTTCTCGCCCCCACACATCTTCCCCCTCAGGCTTTCATGCAAACATACACCCACAGAAAAAGTGTCAGAAGCCCATACACCCACAGAAAAAGTTTTCATTCAGCAGCAGTTAATCGCGACTCTCTGAACATCTTCTCTGTGTCAGTTACAGCTAGATCTAGGGGTACGAGCCGTGGCAAACTCATCAGACACCTTGTCTTTGGGGAGCTGACAGTCTAGTTGGGGTGAGAAGGAGACACTGAGCAGCCAATCACAAAACAAATGTAAAAAGCCACTTGAGAAATATGGTAAGAAAGAGAAGTGCAGAGGGCTGTCAGAGCATAGACTAGGACGGCGTCTAGTCTTGTGTCAGGGAAGCTTTCCTCTAGGAAGCAAGGCTTGAGCTGAGGCCTGAGAAATGAATATGAATTGTCTATGCAAGTGCAGGGGCAGGAATAGCAAGAATTGCTCCCCACAGAAGAAACAGTATATGCAAAGGCCCTGAGGCAGGAAGAGGTCTGACAAGAGGCCAGTATGACTGGGGCATAGAGGGCAAGGGGGAGAGTGGTGTGAAAACAGAGGTAGACAGCGGTCAGATCCCACAGGGGTTTATAGACCATGGTAAGGACATTGCTCTTTAGCCTAAAAGCAACAGGAGGCTTTGTTTTCCATGGAGGTGGAGAGGTGACAGGATCATTCTATAAGCGTCCTCTGTCAGGGCATCCATTTAAGAGACAAACTGGTCCTCCTGCCTTTTGGGAAAGTTTCCCAGTCTGTCATCTCCTTCATCAGTTTAAGGATGACGCAGGGCCGTCCGTGGGATTGTTTTCCGGTCTGTGAAGTGTATTTGGAATGAGGGGTTTGGGGGCACAGAAACCCTGCGGGCCCCCCTGCCCGCTTTCTGTCTCCCTGCAGCTGGAAGTGTTGACCAACCTGGCCAATGAGACCAACACCCCTACTGTCCTACGGGAGTTCCAGGTAGGGCCGGGGCCCAGCACCCCTACTGTCCTACGGGAGCTCAGGTCGGGCTGGGGCCCACCTGCCTGCCGGAGGGTCCACGAGAGGTGCCCGCAGCTCCTTGTGCTCAGTGAGAATCGTCCCGATGGGCCAACTTTCTCTTATGAGCCCAAAGTGGAAAAAGTGTTGTCTTAGGCCCCCTCCCAGAGCCTTCTGCTGGCTCTGGGCTAAGGGACACGCACGGTGGCTGAGGGCGTCACTCTCTCTCCCAGAGTTTAGTCTCTAGCATGATGAGTGATTGAATGAGGGGTGACAAGCTTCCCTGAAGGTCACCCGCAAGCCGGCAGAATCACTGAGGGTCACCGCCTGCTGGGGATCACTCTGTTGTGGTGTCCCACAGACGTACATTCGCAGCATGGACAAGGACTTTGTAGCAGCCACTATCCAGGCCATTGGACGCTGTGCAACCAACATCGGCCGAGTCCGTGACACCTGTCTCAACGGCCTGGTGCAGCTGCTGTCCAACCGCGACGGTCAGTGCTTGTCTGCGTGTCCAACTTGGATGACCAGAGGGTGTGCACCTATCCGTCCAGGCACAATGCGTGTTCGTCCCTCTGTCCACCTCCATGCGTGTGTTAAGTGTTCCTGCGTCCCCGAGGGCCACCAGAGGAGTGCACAGGGTTGTGGAAGAGAGCCAAGGGTCTGGGGGCATTGCAGGGGTGTCCGTCTACCTGCGTGTGGTCATGTGACCGCCCCGGGCCCACACTCTCCCTTCCCGCTCCGCAGAGCTGGTGGTCGCAGAGTCGGTGGTTGTCATTAAGAAGCTGCTGCAGATGCAGCCCGCGCAGCACGGAGAGATCATCAAGCACCTGGCAAAGCTCACGGACAACATCCAGGCGAGGGAGGAACCTCCCGTGTTGCCCTCCCATCCCGGCCTCCTCCCCGTGATTTTAAAACCCCGCGATGAAACACGCTAGCCCTAATGAAACCAACTTCCACACCTTCCATGCTGGCTCTGAAAGGGCCTGCAGGTGGAAAAAGGGAAAAGATGGGACCAGGCAACCCTGACTCATTGCCCAAGATTCGCTTTCCCCTTGAGGGTCCCTTGCTGAGCTCCCTGACCTGTACTGCTGCTCATGTTTTCTCCAAAGCTCTGGCCGAGGGTGGCCGATGGTGCACTGGAAAAACCTAGCGTGTTGCTGTTGCACCAGTAACTTGAAGCACTAAGATAAGGTATTCCTTGGAGGTTCGGGAAGAATAGCATGGAACTAAAGCACGGAGGGTACAACGGATCTAGGAAATCGGTCTTTTAGACAAAACCAGGACGGACTTTGGGGTTTGGAAGCTCTGCGCTTGCTAGCGAACCCCCAGGGCAGAGGGGGGATGCTGCTTAGGAAACGTTCACCTTCTAGTCTGTCCCACGGGACAGGGGTGTGAACCCTGCAGTTACTGGCCCAGCACACACGGGAGGAATGCCATTTCCCTGGCAGGCCACGTGCCCACCCACATCTCCACACGAGCCCCAGTCCTGACTCCTCTTACGCACCCACAGGTGCCCATGGCCCGGGCCAGCATCCTGTGGCTCATCGGCGAGTACTGCGAGCACGTCCCCAAGATCGCGCCTGACGTCCTGAGAAAGATGGCCAAGTCCTTCACGGCAGAGGAGGACATCGTCAAGCTGCAGATCATCAACCTGGCAGCCAAGCTCTACCTGACTAACTCTAAGCAGGTAAGGCTTGAGAGATGCCCCCTAAAACACGCCGGGCCCCAGAAATGGCCCAGGGAGGAGTCAGTGGACCCTCACCAGGTAGGTGTGAACTCCAGCCTCTCTTTCTGATGAGAGAGTTCAGGGCAAACGTCTGGTCTCTCCCGATAACCAGTGTCCCCGTGTCCATGGCTACTCTCAAGGGCTGGGTGGGGGTGGTGGCCACAGGTGAAGAGGCTCTCCTACGGGGCTGTGACCTCCAGTCCACCTGTGGGAGTGTTCCTACCTGCTGCCTTTGGAACAATGGGGCCCTAAAGAACCACAGCTGAGTGGGAGCGAGGGAGGAGCCAGCGATGACACGCGCCGGTGGGAGAACATGTGTTCCACGAGATGTGATCTGTCCTTACTCCCAAAGCTTGGTGATTTTTGGCCAGTCTGTGCCAGGGATATGAGGGCAAATCTCTGCATAGCCAAGGGCATGGCTCCACTAAGCTGGAATATCAGGATATAAGAAGCTTCTTGGGTGAACTCCTGAGATGGTCCCAGGAGATTCTCCTAAGAATTAAGTGTAACGTGCAGAGCTTACAGGGGTTGGAGACACCAAGGGCCATGACCATCCCCACACTCACTGCCCCGCTCAGTTAAGGGAAGTAGAGGCTGGCAAACTATATCGCCCGTGGACCAAATCCAGCCTGCTGTCTGTGTTTGTAAATAAAGTTTTATTGGGACACAGCCATCTTCATTCATTCATTTATTGTCTATGGATGCTTTTGTGCCACAACAGCAGAGTTGACTAGTTGCAAGAGTCTATATGGTCCACAAAGCGTAAAATAGTTACTCTCTGCCCTTTCTAGAAAAAGTTTGGCAACCTGTGGAGCAAAGTATCTGCGCAGGTGGCTGGGGTCAGCAGTTTGGCTACACCCTGGAGATTGTGACGTCCCTGCTGGCCTGCAGGTGGCCTCTTTGTCGTCCCATGGAGTCTTTGGATGGGGGCACCTGTGCTTCTTCAGTGTTTCCTTTGATCCATGGTGACAAGGGTGGGCCCAGGGACTCGAGCTGGGGAGGCAGGGCCATCACAGGCTGGGATACTCATCGGGAGTTGGAATAGGCACCAGTCACCCATGGGAGCAATGAGGGACCTAGTCTGCCAGCATCAGTATCGTGGGCGAAGCAGGTTGCAAAAAGGCTGTGGGGAAGCATTCAGTCACTGAACAAATATTGGTGTGCCTCCTTTCTTCAGAGGGGAGGAAGTAACAGGTGGGAGGAACATTTGAAAAGATGTAGCCGTATGGGCGGGGAGCCACCCAGTTAGGCTGAGGACCCAGCAGGAATCCTGAGCCCCAGAGTGGCGATGTGTGATGTCCGCGTGTTCTCATGAGTCTGGGTGTGCCCACGCGGCGTTTCCCCGAGTTGTCACTCTTAGCTGTGTGTTCACCTTTTCATTGCTTTATCTGGCGTGTATTTCCTGAGTGCTGACCTGTGAGTTATATGCCTGGCACTGAGCTGTGTCCTGGGATAGTGGCCATCAGCGAGACATGTTTACTGACCTCCGAATGCTCACAGCCAAGTAGGGAGAACAGTACATAACGCAGAGCAGTGAGAACCGTCATCAGGGTTGGCACAGAGAGTTCAGGTGCGTTCAGCTGAACCCTTCTCCTCGACAGGCCACAGGGGTCCCAGCCCCAACAGGGCACCCAGGGTAGGCTGTTCAGGCAAATGGATACTGACCTCCAGGCACCCTTTATCTGAAGGTGGGTCCTCCCAGGCACAGGCCCTTTAGAGTGGTTCTTGGATTCAATAAAGAGAGTTTTCTCCTTTCTCCCACCCTCCCTTTTTCCGTTTTTGCTTCCCAGCCTGTTCTCAGCGTGGTGGAGAAAAGGGAATCCTTGGCATTCTGGGAGGATGTTCTTGCAAAACAGTGGTGATGCTTCCCCCTGCCAGTATTATGGGTGACATTCCGGGCCTGCTACGGGCCACAGCAATCCCAGTCATTCCCAGCTTACTGACCCCCAGCACATACCAGATCCCGGCTCAGGCTGAGGCCTGGGCGGTGGCCAAGATGAAGTTCTGCCCCGCTCTGATTCAGCGGATAATCCGGTTCCAGGCCAGAGGTCACAAAAGCTCTGATAATAGATGGACTGACAGAAGGCTTGATGTGAAGGTGGTCATTATAGCACCTGGGGGTGTGGCACCTGGGGGCAACTGCCTGGAGTTCTTTTGGGCGTGAGTTTGCTTTTTGTATGTCAGGTGAGATGTGTGGGAGGAGGCCTGGTGGGAGCCTGGTGGGGGTTCAAATCTGTAGTGGATGGAATGTTTTGATAAAGTTCTGCAGAATTAAAAAAAAAAAAAAAGGTTAACTTTTTAAAAAAATATCATAAGCGTAATGCATGGTCATCATAACACGTTTGGAAAACCCAGAAAAATAATAATTAAAAGTTTAAATTAGCCATAGGTCTACCACTTAGAAAAGACCACCATCAATCTTATAATCTATTTCCTTAGCCTTAGGAAACATTTCTGGTCCCTGTATATAGTCATCCAGAAGTTGCACATCTGTGTCTCCTTTAATGTGTTAATTTTTTCATTTCTGTTTCCGATAGCTTCGTATTTACAAAGTTGTTTCCCCATTCATGTGTCAATTAAATACTTCCCATATAATTTCCTCTAGATTTATTTTCTATTTTTGTATTTTTTTAATCCATCATAGTTTTCTCTTGCTGTGTAGTAAGTTAGCATAAACTTAGTGGCTTAGAACGACATGCTTATTTTCTCGTGACTTCTGTGGGCCGAGAGTCTAGGCCTATCTTCACTAGGTCTTCTGAAGGCTGTGGCTGACCTTTTGGTAGAGGCTGGACTCTCACTGGGGGCTTTGCAGGGAACGGTTCGCTTCCGAGCTGGTTGGTGGCTGGATGCAGTTCCTTTGGGTGGTAGGAATGAGTCGGTCACTCAACCAACTGAGCCACCCAGGCGCCCCTAGAGCTTGTTTTTATATGTGAGGTCAGGATGTATTTTGGTTCAGGTTTTTGAAGAGCCACTTTCCCAGTATGATTTAACAGGTGGTTACAAGGTAGCAGGTATGTTGGCATCAGTTCTTGAAAAGGAGCCCATGTGGGGCACCTGGGTAGCTCGGGCCGGTTGAGGGGCCAACTTCGGCTCAGGTCATGATCTCACGGTTCGTCGGTTCGAGCCCCACATCAGGCTCGCTGCTGTCAGCCTGTCAGCGCGGAGCCCGCTTTAGATCCTCTCTCCCCCTCTGTCTGCCCCTTCCCCACTTGTACTCTCCCCCAAAATAAATAAATATCAAAAAAGAAAGAAAGAAAAAAAAAAAAGGAGTCCATGTTCCTCACTTAAAATTCTCCCCTGGAAGAATTCCCACCAGTCGTAGGAAACTTGTTCTGTTCTTGGTGCACTGAAGCGTGTCTCACAGGCCCTCTTGAGCCACCCATAAATCCTGCACATCCTGGCTGAACGAGGTGAGGGTCTGGGTGGTGCAGACTGGATGCCATCATTTCTGGTGAATGGGTTCTTGGGATGGAGAAGCGTAATGAACTGTTATAAGCAAATGCTGCAGTGTTGTGGGTGAACCAGCCCCTTCCTATGTTGACTGCTGATATGCATTTAAGTCTGTGCACAGATGGAGGCAGATCTTTAACACTTCTTTCCAGAACTAGCCAAGGACTTGGGGGAGGGAGAATGTCTGATCAGCCGGCTGGGAAGTCTGTAGAGGGGAATCGGCAGCATCTTGATATCAGACCATGTTGATAAGGACCTCTGCCCGCCATGACTAGTCAAACGATGTCTGGCCCAGGGAGGGGAAGGTCTGTGATGAAGTCCATTGCGAGGTGTCCTACGTGGGAGAGTATGGAGTTGAGAGTACTTTCCTGTGATGGGAACAGTGTTGCAGGTGCTCCTATTGTTGGACGGGACTGAGCTGAAGGCGAGGCCACTGAGATCCCTGCGGGCCATGTTGTAGGTACCTGAGAGTCACAGTGGCTCTCTAGTTTTGCCACAGCAGCAGCTCTGATTCTGGGTCAGCGTCTGGGGGCTAAACCCCTCCTGGACGTCTTTCTGACGCTCCCCCTGGGTTACCCGAATCAGCCATGTCCAATGGCTGGATGTCCATAAACCTCAGGAAGACCAAGGTTGGTTCCAGACTCCTCCTTTGGGTCCTGCTACCCCAGGCACTCTGGCTGCGCGGACATGAGATGCATGTGCTTGGTGGAGACCCGGATGGGGCAGCCCCCTATGTCAGCAGGTAGGCAGTATCGGGAAGCAGGTGGATTGCTGGCTCAGGCGGGCCCAGGTCTAGAAGCAGCAGTGACTGGCTCCTTAATCTGAGAGAAGTCACTTCTGACTCTGCTTCTCTGTAAGTGGGAGCAATTGCACATACCTCTCGGGAGAGTTGTGGACATTACACGGGATCGTGTGAAGCTCCTTACATAGCACACAGAGCTAGAATGACAGCTGCTACCTGTCATGTCATAAAGGCAGGTTAGAGCAGGCCAGGATCAAGGCAGAAATCAAGATTTGGGGTCCTAGGATGTGGCTGCCTTGATTGCAGACAGTGGACCCATAGGCAGTTTGCTCTCTAGAACCTTTCAGGGGAGGTCATGGCCTCTGAGACTCTGGGCTGCTCAGAATGTACCACGTGGATCAATGGGCATGAGGACAGCCCCTACCGATGGGATCCCCATGTGCCCCCCGCCAACTCCTTCTGTTGTCTACTTTTCCTCTGTGTGGTGGAGGCTGAGAACTGTGAGATTTCCAGCAGAATGCTCTAGACCTCCTTTCACCCTAGCATCCTAAAGTAAAGAGGCTGGCCCTCCCTGGAGTGGGGTAGGAGCTAGGCCTGGGACAGTGGGGACCACGGACTCAGGAAGAATGGAGCTCACGGCCAAGAGGGAGGAGATTGCAAAGGGGCGACCTCTCTCACCAGGCCCCCGGCAGCTGTCAAAGCTGGGGTCGGGAGTCAGGGCCAGGGAGGGGAGAGGAAAGGCAGGATGAAGGGAGGGCAGGTGGGAGAGGAAGAGGGTGGAGGCAACGTATCGCTGGGAGACACGGCGAGGTGGGGGGCTTACAGAATCTGCTGCAGGGCCCCCTGTGTCCCCGCTGTCTCTGACCGCTGCTGACCCACCTCTTGTCCCCCAGACCAAGCTGCTGACCCAGTATGTGCTGAGTCTGGCCAAGTACGACCAGAACTATGACATTGACCCGGCAGCGCTTCACCCGGCAGCTGATCGTCCCCTCGGAGCAGGGTGGGGCCCTCAGCCGCCATGCCAAGAAGCTCTTCCTGGCACCCAAACCAGCCCCAGTGTTGGAGTCATCCTTCAAAGGTGGGAGCTGAAGTCAAGGGTAACCTCCAGGGGCGGGGGGGGGGGGAGGCGGGGTGGGAAGGAGGGGAACTGGCCAGGACCCCATACCCAGATCTTCCCCCTGAGGTCCCAGTCTTAGCCAGACACCAGGACTTCGGGAGAAATGCCAGTCTCTCTGGCCCTCACCCCACCCCGCCCCCACCCACAACCACCACCAGCATCATCTCACCTGAGTCCCTGCCCTCCCAGCCAGCATGGCTCCTGCTCCTCTCTTGTCTGGCGCCCCCGTCCACCTCCCTCCCTGAGCCAGCACTATGTATCCAGATTTAAATACCAAGGACCCCGGAAGGTGGGAAGTCAAACAGCATTCAGAGGAGAGGTATAGATTTGTTAAGAGTCCTGAGAAAGTTGCCGGTGCTCTGGGCTGCCACTGGAGCTCTGCCCAAAGGCTGGGCCTTCAGCCTTGCCTCTGTCCTTGGGCTCGTGTCCTGTGATAGGGGCCCTGAGAGAGGCTGGGAGGGGACAGTCCGCCAGCTGGCTCCCTGGACCTCGGAATCCTGAAGGGGACCTGGCTCCCTTACAAAGCTCGGTTCTCCTGGGTGTCTTTTTGTTCATTTTTTTTCTCTTCCCTGGACCTCAGGAACAGGGAAATTCTGAGGGATGGGGCGGATTTGAACGTCTGCCAGGAGGGAGGAAGTCCCTTTCTCCTTCCCAACCCATCCCCGCTCACAAGTCTCCAATACACAGGCTGGACCTCTGGCCTTGACTTCTTCCCACTCCCGTTCAGACTGCTCACCTCTCCCCACGGGGCCTGACCAGGCTGCCTTGCCCTCCTCGCCCCAGCCTGGCCAGCCTCTTCTTCACAGGTGCTATCCTCATACCATCTAGGCCTCCTTCCCAAGCCTGGCCATGCTGAAGCACACAGCCCCCGCTGCCTTGGAAGAGAAGCCTCACTCACATGTCTGCTTCCCCGTTAGGCAGAACCAAATAGATGGGCCTGCAGCCTCTCCCCACACCATCCCCCTACCCTCCCTCGCAGCCCCACCTGCCCCATACCTCAGCTCCTGATTGAGCCAGGCCAGACAACCTGACCCTCTGGCCTATCTTCCTGAAGGTGGAGGAACCCGTACAGGACACACCCACCCCTTTTGTCTACCTCGATAAGGGATCCCAGCCAGAATCACCACCCCACCTGGGAGACAACTCCCAGGACATTTCCTAACACCTACTCCTGGCCTGACCTCTAACCCTACCCCCAGACCGGGACCACTTCCAGCTGGGCTCGCTGTCCCACCTGCTCAATGCCAAGGCCACAGGCTACCAGGAGCTCCCAGACTGGCCAGAGGAGGCTCCAGACCCATCTGTGCGGAACGTGGAGGTCGGCGGGGTGAAGGGTTCAATTGTGTGTATGGGGGCGGGGGGGCACAGGTAGCAGAGAGCCCTGGCCGTGCTGGCCCAGCCCTCCTGACACCCTCCCCCCATGCAGGAAGAAGATCTGTCCCTTATCGAGACCCACGTGGGCCTGTTGGGCGAATACACGGAGGTCCCCCCGCCCGTGTGCCGTGTGCCCTCTGCTCTGTGTGCAGTGCTCTCTCTCGTACCCTGTGCTGCCCCTCCCCTCCACCTCATCATTCCCTCTTGGAGACAGGGCCAAGCAGGGCCCAAGAAGAGGCAGGGTGAGAGGCAAAGAGGCCCTGTGCTTTCCTTCCTCCTCCCCAGCCATGATTCAATGCTCCTCTCCCCCCACCCCCACTTCCAGGTACCAGAATGGACCAAGTGCTCCAATCGAGAGAAGAGGAAGGAGAAGGAGAAACCCTTCTATTCTGACTCAGAGGGGGAGTCAGGCCCCACAGAGTCTGCAGACAGCGGTGAGGAGAGGGCAGAGCTGGGGACTCTGTGTGCTTCACATGGCCTCATGTGCCCACGGGGGCACGCACCAGTTTGTGTGCATCTGTGTGTGAGTCGGTGGTCCTGAGGGATTGCACGTGCCATCCACACCCACCTGCGTCCCGGTTGGCCCGGTTGGCATCTGGGGCCAGGGGCAGCTCAGGGGGCTGCAGCTTCAGTGCTGAGTCAAGCTGGGACCCCAGGGCACCTGCTCTGGACCCAAGGAGGTCTGCACCCAGGGAGGGCGTCTGAGACAGTTCCTCCACAGACCCCGAGTCCGAGAGTGCCTCGGACAGTAAGGGCAGCAGTGAGAGCGGCTCTGGGGAGTCCAGCAGTGAGTCTGATAGTGAAGACCAGGAGGAAGAGAAGGGGAGGAGCAGTGAGAGGTAAGAGGGGAGCCAGCCAGGTGGCTGGTGGGGTTCAGGGGTCTCCTCTGGAAAAGGAGGGGGAATGCTCAGCCTTAGCCACTCTAAGAGCCCCTGATCTGGTGGGGCCTTCCGACCCCCAGTGCACTCCCATGATGGCTGCTGTGGCTGGCCACAGGGGGTCTCTGTGCTGAGCCTGCCCCCTCATGGGAACAGCAGGGAGAAGCATTGGGGGACCAGGGACCCAGGCCTGTTTAGAGTTCTCACTGGAGCCTAGACGTAGGAGCCCAGCTGGGCTCTACTGGCTCAGGCTCCCTCCCCTCCCCCCACTTTCCTGGTCTTTTCCTGCTCTTTTGTGAGGTGAGGGCAGGTGTGTCCGGGCCGGGCCTGAGCCCCATTCACCCCGTCTCCTCCAGTGAACAGAGTGAGGAGGAAGGTGAGAAGAGGAAGATGAAGAAAAGGAAGAAGGTGCCCGAGGGACAGGGAGAAGGTTCATCCTCAGAGGAGGACAGCGATTCCAGCAGTGGCTCATCAGAATCTGAGAGAACATCAGAGACGGAGGAGGAGCAGGTGGAACCTGCCTCTTGGAGGAAAAAAACAGTGAGAGCCTTGGGGCAGAGAGGGGGGTGGGCTCATGGGCCAGGGGCTTTCCCACATCCTGAGGCAGGCCAGTCACCTCCCCAACCATCTAGAATAGACCATGGTATCATCTACCCAACCCAGAACAGGCCAGGTGCTCTCCTCCTGCACCTGTATCCCATTTTTGTCTTTCAGCCTCCCAGTGGCAAAAGCGCCCCGGTAGCCAAGGAGATCTCCCTGCTTGACCTAGAGGATTGTGAGTTTGGGTAGAAGTCACTGGGGGAAGACCTTGGGAAGGTGGCTTAGGAAGGTCCCTAGGAGCTCTGGATTAGGTTCCCCAGGGCTCTGGGGTAAGGGGAGCAGACGGAACACACTTTTGGGGCCAAGAGGGCGGAGGGACAGCCTCCCCAGGTGTGGGGTTGGGATACAGGACCTGGTGTTCCCATAAGAGCCCCCAGGATGCCACGTGCTTCGCTGTCCATGGTGCTGAACCATCTCCTTCCCTGAGCTTTGGGTTCCCTGCTCAATCCAAGCCGATTCCACGTTGCCTCCCTCATCGTAGCCTTCCTCATCTGCTCCCACAGTCACCCCTCCCAGTGTCCAGCCTGTGTCTCCCCCCACGATCGTGTCCACCAGTCTGGCTACTGACCTGGAGGGCCTGACGCTCACAGACTCCCCGCTGGTGCCCTCAGTGAGTGGGATGGGGGAGGGACACATGTCTGGGGTGCATCTTACAGTGTGGATTTGTGTGTGTGGAGGAGGGGTGTGATGTAGGGGATAGCTTTGAGTCCCCATTGCTGGGTGACCCCAGGTGAGGACAAGGCAGGGACAGGCTCTCTCCTTGTTCATTTCCATACTGGCCCTCCTCCACCCCTCCAGCTGCTGAGTCCAGTGGTAGGTGTTGGGAGGCAGGAGCTGCTGCACCGTGTAGCCGGTGAGGGGCTGGCCGTGGACTACACCTTCAGTCGCCAGCCTTTCTCTGGGGACCCCCACATGGTATCTGTGCACATCCACTTCTCCAACAGCTCTGATACCCCCATCAAGGGCCTGCACGTGGGCACCCCCAAACTGCCCGCCGGCATCAGCATCCAGGAGTTCCCTGAAATCGGTACGGAGGGCCTTGGAAATGTTGGAGGAGGGGGCTCCTGGGCAGTGTCAGTCTTTCTGTGGCTGCTGATGCCCCCTCGGTGCCAGGCCAGGCCATGAGGGCTCAAAGAGGGCATCTAACATGATCGTGCCCTTGTAGATAGTACAAACTAGGAAACAAGCACGTTTGTATCAGGGCAGAAGGTGCTTGAGGCAGACAGTATGGGCCTTGGTTGTTTCAGGACTGACTTACATGAGGTAAGGGTGGGTGGGAAAAGGGTATTTAGAATTCAGAAGAAAACCAGGAAATACTCCAGGGACCTAGAAAGCCAGGAGTGCATAGAGGGGTGGTCAGCTCTGGCAGTGGAGGAGAGAATGGGTCTGGGTTCCAGACCTATCAGGTGACAGTATCTTTCCCTGTCCCCCTTTCCCTGCCCCATACCACTGCAGAGTCACTGGCACCCGGAGAATCTGTCACTGCTGTAATGGGCATTAATTTCTGTGACTCAACCCAGGCAGCCAACTTCCAGCTGTGGTGTGTATCCAACTCAGGGTGGGGTGGGAGGGTGGGCTGGAGAGGGGAGGGGGCAGAATGTCAGGGATACATCATGACCTGCTGGGTTCAGAAGTCATCCCAAGCTCTCAGATCTTCTCTCACTCTTTGTTGCCTCCAAAGTGGGAGGTGAGGGGAAAAGGTGCCTCACTTCATTTCCTCCCCCTCCGTTTCCTCCCCACCCTTCCCAGTACCCAAACCCGGCAGTTCTACGTCTCCATTCAGCCACCCGTTGGGGAGCTGATGGCCCCCGTGTTCATGAGCGAGAATGAGTTCAAGAAGGAACAGGGTGAGTGCTCCCCAGGGTGGACAGGGAGGGGCTCGGCACCACCCACTGGGGCCCTGGAAGCTCATGGTGCAGTCCTGCTGGAAGGGCCTCAGCATCGTCAGAGTGTGGGCCTCTGGCAAAGGCTTCACAGAGGGTGGGACACTTCAGTGAAGCTTTGGAGAGAGCAGGACTCAGCCAGGCAGAAAATTCTAGGCCTGCGTTCCAGCTTGGGAAAATATCATGAGTACGTGTTGGTGAAAGTTTGCAGGAACCGAGGAGAAAGACAATTTGGTTTGGAGCTTAGGAGTCCGTAGTACACAGAGGTAATAAGAACAAAGCTGAAAATGAGATGTTTGGTCTAGCATCTGGAAGTCTTGAATGCTGTGCTAAAGCATTTCAGTCCCAGAATTTCAGAGCTGGAAGGGGTCACCAAAGTTAAGTTATCAGGTCCACCTCGGCTGTGAGAGAGATTAGGACTTCGTTAGACTTCATTTTCCTAACAGTGCAGAGGTCGCCAAAGGTGTCTGAGGAAGGGGCCAGCTTCAGGCCTCTGCCTCAGCAAGGGGGATCTGGCAGCACCCACAGCAAGGACTGGACTGGGGGGAGCCTGCAGTGGGGAACAGAGGCGGGACAGCCTAAGCAGGAGACACATGGGGCTTTGTGAGTCCTGGCTTGAAATTCTGACCCTGCCACTCACTTGGTGTGTGACCTTGGCCTAAATTCTGTGACTATAAGGCTATTGCAGTAGATCTGGTGAGAGAAGGTGGGAACCAGATGAGAGCCACAGCAGAGGGAATGCAGGGCTGGGTGGGTAGGGGGAAGGGGGCAGCCGTGGGCAGCTGCCCTGAGAAGGAGAAGAGGGAGGTATTTGGGGATGGCAGGGAGAACTCGGTGCCCTTCCCCTAGACCGGGACTCGGCAAACTTTTTTCCGTAATGGGCCGGAAAGCAAACGTTTTAGGCTTTGTGGGCCACGTGGTCTCTGCTACAATTACTCGGCTCTGCTGCTATTAACGCAAAACAGCCCCAGATAACGTGTAAATGAACGAGCGTGGCTGTGTTCCAATAAAATTCTATTTATGGACAGTTAAATTTGAATTTCACATAATTTTCATATGTCACGAAATATTAACCTTTTGATTTTTCCCCCCAGTGTTTTAAAAACATAAAAACCACTGTGGGCCGTACAGCTGGCAGGCTGGATCTGGCCTGTGGTCTGTAATGTGCCGAGCCCTGATCTGGAAGAAGGAGGAATGGGTTAGGCAGGGGAGGAGGGAAGATCATGGTTGGCTTCAGATAAGAGGACTGTGAGGTGCATTTGGGAAATTCAGGAGGAGGTGTTTAATAAGCCACTGAAGATGCAGGTCTGTGCCCCAGAAACACCTCTAGGCCAGAGTCATGAGTACAGAGGTGATGGAGGTGACAGCCAAAGCTGTGAGTATGAGTCAGATCCCCCTGGCAGAGAGATGGGTGGGAAGATAAGAAGGCCAAGGAACTTCCTTGTGGAAAACCCGCATGCTTCCGGAGAAGGAGGAGGGGAGGGATGAAGAGAAGGAACAGAGTAAGAGGTGGAAGGGAAACCAGGAGAGATGAGAAGGCACAAGGGTGCCCTGGGGTGGTCCACAGGCCAGGATGACCCAAGACCTTCAGCTCCAGCAGACAGGAGGCTGCCCACATCAGAGAGCAGGCCATCGCCCAGGGAGACAGAGGCCATCTGCAGCGGGTTGGAGGAGACCAGGGCTTGGGGAAATGGAGCCCTCTTGGGAGGACTTTGGCCACGCAAGGGAGGGATGCACGGCAGTGGCATGAGGCGGGAGTCTTGCTTCCAGAGGGGACTTTTTAGGGACTTGGAGACTTGGACATGGGGAGAGTGAAGGGATGGGGCAAGGAAATGTCACTAGTCTGGAATTAGGAGAGGCAGGGGCAGCAGGAGAGGGATGTCCATTCTCAAAAGGAGGAGAGGGGAAGCAGCAGGGAGGGGACAGGGGCTGAAGAGGAGGTGGCAGGAGGGCAGAGAGGGTGTCGCATGGCTGGCCTAGAGTGTGTGAGTGGAGAGGAGAGGTCAGCCCTGTAGGGGAGAGGTTGTGGATGCCTGGGGGCGTTGGGAGCCCTGGCCAGGTACGGAGCCGTTGCCTCCTTGAGCTCCTCTTCAAGCTGACTGGCCACCATGTCCACTGGTGCCTCCCTCCCAAGGGGATGGTCGCCCGGATGTCTGACGCTGGGGAAGTGCCAAGTCAGTCTTTGGTCAACAACACGGATAGAGCCCTGGGTGGGGTGGGGTGGGGTGGGGTGGGGAGGCTGGCTTCCCAAAGGAGGGTGTGGTCCAGGAGGAAAGTAGCCCCTGCTCAAGACAGAGAGAGGTTCACACCTGCTCTTAGCATGAGACCTGCCAGCCTGAGGAGAACTTGGTGAGGATACCCCGTGGTCAGACTCAGGAGCCAGCCTCTGGACCGTGTGGCCTCCGCCCTCATCACGACCTCTGTCCTCAGGAAAGCTGACAGGCATGAGCGAGATCACAGAGAAGCTCACACTGCCAGACACCTGTCGGAATGACCACATCGTGGTGCAGAGAGTGACTGCCGTTGCCAACCTGGGTCGTGTCCCTTGTGGGGCCTCTGATGAGTACAGGTACTCAGCCCCCAGCAGAGGGGAGAGGCGGGCTTTAGGGAGGCCTGCTTTGCAGGAGGGTCGCATGCCCAAAGGCTGAGACCCTTCCTCTACCCTCACCGCAGATTTGCGGGGAGGACGCTGACCAGTGGGAGCCTGGTCCTGCTGACCCTGGACGCCCGGCCCACTGGAGCTGCCCAGCTGACCGTCAACAGCGAGAAGATGGTGATCGGCACCATGCTGGTGAAGGACGTGGTGCAGGCTCTGACCCAGTGATTCCCGAGGGCTGTGACCTCTTTGACCCCTGCTTCTCTCTCCCTCATGACATCTGGGCTGTTAGCCCCACTTGTCTTTCCTCTCTCTCTCTCTCTCTCTCATAGCAGTTTCCTCATGCCAGAGAGCATCGGTGGGGGGGGGGGGACTCTTGCCCTCTAGTCACTACCAGGCTCCCCGCAGCCCCTCCCCCGCCCTGTGGGTCCCCTAGCGGCCTGTGTTGGGGGAGCCGCTCCCTCCAGTCTTCCCGGCTTTCTGTAGCTATTTCTGCAGCAACATCCCAATAAAGTGTCTTCTCCCTACGTGCTGGCTCAGCTTTCCTTCCTTCTGAGGGGATCCAGGGGAGACAGCTGCTAAGTGTGACCATGTGACCCTTGTGAAAGATCATTACTTTCTAGGGACGGCTGTGACTGACTCTCATAGGTGACTCTGGTTGTACCCCAAGGTGACGATCCCTTAGTCCCCAGGCATGTGTGCGGAAGAGACATCCAAGCAGGGATGGGAAGGCCAAGCCGGAAGAACTCCTTGGTCCTGCAAAAGCAAGGCCTTTCCGGTGATTATTGGTCCCCCTGGATTTCCCTCCTGGGCCTCTCTTTGGGAGAGACTCATAATGTGGGGGACTCCGCAAACATAGGCGCGAAGTTCAGAATATGTCAACTGTGGAGCCCCCACCTTGCTGGGGAGATGACCCGAACAGCCCTCCCGGAAGGGGAAGAACAGGAAAGAGATGGAAAGTGCTTCTCAAACAGCCCAGCATCAGATCACTTGCAGATTTCGTTAACATGCAGATTCTGATCAGTGTCTGTGGTGGGGCCTGAGAGCCTGCATAGAGAGAGTGCACACGTGTGGGTGGGGGGAGTACAAGAGAGAGAGAGGGAGACAGGATCTGAAGCAGGCTCTGCACTGACAGCCGACAGCCGGATGGGGGGCTCGAACTCACAAACCATGAGATCATGACCTGAGCTGAAGTTGGAAGCTTAACCGACGGAGCCACCCAGGTGCCCCCAGATTCTGCATTTCTAACAAGGTCCCGGTGGCAGATGCCGTCGC